TCTGTGTGTCCTAAAAACAAGGACAAAGCTGTTGTTCCTGGGGTTGTCTCCATAAACATGGAGCCGGGACGAGGCCAGGTTCCCATGGGGTGGGGTGAGGTGCTATGTGATAGCATGGAGGAATGTTGCACCTTGTGGGTTCCATTGTCCCTTTCCCTGCTTCTCCCAGGACTATGAGAGCAAACTGGAGGCTTTGCAGAAGCAGATGGATTCTAGGTATTACCCTGAGGCAAATGAGGAAGAGGAAGAACCTGAGGATGAAGGTGAGGGCTGGGTTTTGATGCTCTCTGTGGGAGCAAGAGTGGACCGCTGGTCCCCTGGGCACCTCTGTACCAATGGCCTCCCTCCCAGCAGTGGGGTGACTGTCCCTCCATGTCCCCACAGTGCAGTGGACGGAGCGGGAGTTTGAGCTGGCCCTCTGGGCCTTTAGGAAGTGGAAGTGGTACCAGTTCACCTCCCTCCGTGACCTGCTCTGGGGCAACGCCATCTTCCTCAAGGAAGCCAACGCCATCAGCGTGGAGCTGAAAAAGAAGGTGGGTGCCCGGAGCTCCTCTCTGGAGCTGAGGAGGGAGTTGCCGAAGGCATGGCGTGGAGCCCGCTGTCCTCCTCACTGTCCCCCTCTGCCCCTCTCCAGGTCCAGTTCCAGTTTGTGCTCCTCACAGACACGCTGTACTCACCTCTCCCTCCCGACCTGCTGCCTCCCGATGCTGCCAAGGAGCGGGAGAAGCGGCCGTTCCCCCGGACCATCGTGGCCGTAGAGGTGCAGGACCAGAAGAACGGGGCGACGCATTACTGGACCCTGGAGAAGCTGAGGTGAGCAAATTATGCCTGCAGCAGGGAAGGATCAGCCAGCCTCCGCCTGCTTTCTCACCGCTGCCTGCCATGTCCCCCTCTTGCCTGTAGGCAACGTCTTGACCTGATGCGTGAAATGTATGACCGTGCAGCAGAAGTGCCTTCTAGCGTCATCGAAGACTGCGACAACGTGGTGACCGGCGGGGATCCTTTCTACGACCGCTTCCCCTGGTTCAGGCTGGTTGGCAGGTGAGCGCTTTGTCTCCTTCTAAGCGCGGCTGGGACCCTGCAGGCAGCCCTGCGGGAGGAACCGCCGCCAGCTCTGCCATGCACGGGGTATTCATCTCCCCGGGGCTGCGCCGCAGGAGGATACGTTGCCCACCCGGTGCTGGTCAGGACCCATCTTGCCTGTGATGGCTCTCCTCTGCATCGGCTGGCGGGGCCCCCCGGCGCGCCCGCGCGCCCCCTACC